AGGGTGGAGGGAGGCGGGCTCTTTTCTTTTGGCTATTTTCGTTTTCCGCTTGTGGCGGTGGAAATTCGGAGTAATCTGTTATCTGGCAATTCTTTTTCTTTTTTTCTTTTTTTTTTTCATAAAGCTTCTCAATTCTTTTTCTCCCTCATATAAGAAATAAATTATTTAAATTTTATTTTCCTGTCATTATACGGCTTGGCAAACAAGGGTCGTGAGTTCAAACTCGTTATGGAATGAGATGAATCGAATAAAACTCGGGGTTTATTCGATTCATAAAATGATATGATGACGATATATACATGAGAAATAAATTATTTCCCTATATCGATCTCTATACCGTACATGCATAAAATTTTATAAAATTTTGGATATATTATATATTATATTCTATGTTATATATGACGATATATATATGTGTATATGGTCATATCTGCCTACGGTTTCCCGGGAAGCTCTGTTTGACGATATGCAAGTGGGTGCTTCCTTGTGACACACGTGGATGGGGGCAGCTGGCGCTCAACCTGTCATCCACGTGGCCGGCCTTGTACGTAAGAAGTGATGAACAGGCGAAGCTTTCCTTCTTTTTCTTTTTTTTTTTCTTTTTTGTTTTGTTTTTTTTCGCCTTTGCGCTCCGATACAAGGTGTGACGATATATATGTATGTCATCCACTTGGCCGGCCTTGTACGTAAGAGGTGATGAACTGGCGGAGCTATATATATATATAGATAGATATAGATATAGATATCAGATGTATATATATATCATCAAACAGAGCTGCCCGGTAAACCGTAGGCAGAGAGGGAGGGAGAGAAGAGGACAACGAACGAGGGGCTGTGATAAACTGTTTCATCGGAGTTTCGCCGACTCATCAGGAGGCTGAACCCTTTATATAGGTGTATGTGTGTATATATATGATGGCGGGCTTGTTATGGCCCTTGACAAAAAAAAAAAAAAAGAAGAAGAAGAAGAAAGAAATGCCTGGCGCTATGTTGTTAATGTTTGTTCCGATTATTCTTTTTTTATTTTTTTTTCCTCCCCGCCTTTTTTCTCCCTCAATATCTGCGGAGGAGAAGGGATGACTCTGCTGCGCACAAACGACTTTTTTTTTTTTTTTTTTTTTTTGCAACAGCGGACATTGATTTTTTTTGTGTTCCGCATAGAGGACATTGAGAGGGGAGAGGCGAGAAGCGAAGAGAGTGAAACGAGGGGGGAAAAAAAAAAGGCGAAAAGGGAAAGCATATCTATGAAAAAAAAAAGTATATCTCGCCTCACCAGAGCGGCGGCGACTTTTGTGAGGGACGCCGGGGCCGCTTCCCAGCTTTAACATTCATTAATAAAGATAAAGACTGATCTTCTTGCAAAAAAAATAAAATAAAAAAAATTGATGAGGAAGTTAACTGCATCTACTTCTTACTGGTGAGTTAGACTAGTAGCATTTTTATTTTGGGGGGAGGGGAGGGAGGGGAGGGAGGGAGGGAATCTCTTTTAGATCCACAGTCTGAATCAAGGAAAAAAGAAAGCGCGGGAAATCCTGTCGAGAACCAGTCTGGATCAGCAAAGCGCGGGAAGTCTAAATTAGATCCAGTTCAGAGTCGAGGAAAAAAGCGCGGGAAATCTTTTCTGGATCCAGTGTTGAGTTAGCCAAAAAGCGCGGGAAATCTAAAGAGGAACCATTCTGATTCACAGCATGCGCGGGAAATTTACATCCAGCGACGAAGCCAAAACGCGCGGGAACTCTAATTAGATTCAGACTGAGTAAAAGCAAAGCGCGGGAAATCTAATTGGATCCAGTCCGAGTCAACCAAAAAAAAGCGCGGGAAATTTTTTATATAAATCCATTCGCAGCCAGCAGAGCGCGGGATCTTTTCTTATGATCCAGTCTCACTCAGCAAAGCGCTTGAGGCTGTCTTTGCAAAGCGCGGGAAATCTCTTTTACATCCATGACTACTGTGTCAGCAAAAGCGCGGGAAATCTTATCGATCGAGGCTGTCTTAGCAAAGTCCGGGAAATCTAATTAGACTAATTAGATCCAGCCCTCGTTAGGGAGCGGGGGGGAAGATCTAATTACAATCAATCAGCAGAAATTCATCATTACACAGCACCCATTTGTGAAAAAACAGGGGCTTGAGAACGACTTGAAGGTGAAGAGGGTTGGG